AAATCATACGATGCAGCGAGTTTACTCAAATCGTCCCTGTTTTATGTTATCACGATAACCTTTTTACCCTTGCTAATGAGCTGAGTACAAGATACAAAAATATCCAGATATCACAAGTAGCGGTACAATTCTTATCTGGCTGCTCTTCCGTAGGGAGAAGTTATCCGCTTAAGCGTATGTGCTTACCAAAAAAATCTTTTATTATATTTAATTGAATAGGGTGACGGAGAAGGAGGACGATCCATTTTCATAACCATTTCGATGTTTGTCAGATAATATTAGTCGCTATTTGATTTGTAATTGGGGAATGGATAATTTTTATATTCCCAAATATTATACTTTTATTAATAAAGAAAATTAACTTGTAAAGGTTTTAAGCATTAATTTATTCAATATCTATCTATTAAAAACATGTTATGTTTACAAAAAACTTTAATAAATATTAAAAAGTTTTGAATAATTAAAATCGTACTGTCATAACTATATAATTTAATAAAGGTAATTGATCTTATAATTCAACATTCTCCATCCCTTCATTATGATGATGATGTCCAGGACCACCGAATCCTGCCCCTGAATGAATCGAGTGAATTCGATGTTGTTGTTCAATAAAGAAAGTCGCAGATTGCGTACGAGGTCGAACAAGAACTTGTTCAGCATTGTTTAAATAAATAGTTTCAGAAAATGTATGTGAATCAAGGCTAGTAACTCTTATGAGAGGAACAAGAAGGTGCCCGGTTTTCAAGGGTACAAGTGTAATAGGAAATTCATTCGTTTCTCCAGCCTAAATTGTCAATAACGTGAGAGTTTGTATCTTTTTTTTAGGGAAAAAAATTCATTGGATATAAGTTGTTGTCTCACCTTTGAAGAAAAGCATAATTTTTTATGTCCTGCCAATAGCCAATTGTCAAAATCAACATGAACATCATAATAAAATTCCAAAGAATCCGTAGATGTATAATTCCAATATGATGAATGTCGAACTATCAGACGACAATGGCATGGCTCCCCAACGATCAAATCATGTGATTTTGAAATAATCAATTCCACAGTATTTAGAATCTAGGTTGAATAGAAAAAATAATATTGAAAATTTGCAAAATGATATCATAATAAAAAAGAAAGATCGATCTATGTATACCTTAGACGATGGCACATTTATGGGGAACGATATTGAATATTTTAAATCATTACCGATAGCCATAATTTCTTCATTAGACACTTGGTTGCTTGTCTAATCATAATCATTAAAATAAACGTAAATCTTAAAAATCTAAATGACATCATAACAGCAATAAAAAAAAGGTAATTACCTCCCAAAATTCCTTAACAACATCAACTAGTGCGTCTTTGGCAACACCATGGGTTATGAAAAGATTCTCACACTGTGAAATATCTAATTCACCTAAATCCAAAGTATCTGTCATACCATATGAAACATAATCTACCGATTTCAATAGATGTTCCTTGGCATTCTCAATAAGGAACTGAGAATGTTGAAATAATTTTTTTGACTTTAAAATAGTATTCAAGGTATGCTCCACATACTTCTCAACCTCTATATTTATGAAAAGATCGTAAAGTTTAATTTAACGAAATAAGAAAAGAATATCAAAAGCGAAGAATAAGTCAAGTTAATTACCTACCATCTTGAAGCGACCGATATGTTACTACAAAATGGATTTGAGTGCTTGCAGATTTCGCATGCTCTCCATGATCATAATCTATACAAATTAAACAAAATATTAATAAAAGTTTAATATAATATGAAATATAACCCATTGTACTAACGTTACCTTTTGATCTTGTCAATTTATACACGTATGAAGCATGCTGTTTTCCAAATAAATTCTTTTTTTATGGAAAAAGTTTAAAAAATGAATATAATGCGAATAAACATTTTGGAATGTTATTTAATGACACCTACCAAAGATGGTAAACTTAAGGATGGATTGTCGGCAACCTCATAAACTTTTGAAGGAACCAAA